TCGGGGAGATATTTGTTCCATGATTTCTGACTTCCTTCAATAAATTCGGCAATCATCGTTTTCACGACTCTGTTGGTCCTCTCCACAGGGTTACATTGCGGTGAGTAAGGTGGTATCCTCTGGTGTTCGATACCGCAATCCCTCAACAATCCAGTAAACTGTGAACTGGTGAATTGGCTGCCATTGTCTGATATAAAAATTTTAGGGCAACCAAAACGCAAAATAATACGATCCTTAAATATTTTGATGATTTCTGCTTTGGCCTTACGAAGTGGTTGAATCTCCAGCCACTTGGTGAACTTGTCCTGAATCACTGGTAAGTACGAATGACCTTGGGTCGCCTTGGGACGACCTAGTCATTAATCCGACGATGTCGATCGATACAACCTCCCAGGGTTGCGAGGTGTACGTCATGCTCATGGTACCAGCAGGTCTTCATTGTGGCACCTTGAAGCCTTGGCACTTTTCACACGAACGAACGTAATGCTTGATGTCCTTGTGCATACCTGGCCAATAATAAAATTGAGCAATTCGACCAATCTTATAAAATGTGCGACTGAAGTCTGGTGCAGTAAGAATAGGTGCTGTCACCAACTTGTTCTTAATAGCTTCAAATACAGCCTGCTCTGCATCTGTCCATTACCACTTCTGAGATTTTTGTAGCAGGTTTGTCAAATGTTTAGTCAGTGTCGCACAGTCGGAAATGAACCTCCTGTACCACGACACAACTTCAATGAATCGTCTCAAATCTTTGACTGAAGTGGGAGCTTTCATGGCAAGAATAGCACGAACTTTGTCCGGATCAGTACGTATTCCATATCTCTCAACAACGTGACCAAGATATTTCACTTCTATCATTATCCTTTCAAGAGATTATCTGATTTCGCCTTCATCGTCTTCATTATCTTCCACTAACAGAAACATTTCTGGATCAGAATCTGAAGATTCATCTTCAGAACCTGGTCCCTGATCTTCACTGATCTCTTCCTGCTCTGTTCCATCTTCATCCTCAACATTTAGCCATCCCAACCCAAAGCTAATCATATGATTCGGACTCTCATCATCTGAACTATCGTCTTCTGGTGTTCCAAAATTAATTCCCATTTTGATTTGTCTCATGATATCAATACCGATAATCATTGGTAGATCTTCCATAATGTAAAATTTGAACATATCATTTTGATTATCCACATGGACTCTCAACTCAACTTTTCCCTTGATAGGAACACTCCTACCGTCAGCCACAGTCACCACATGTTTGGTCTTCAGCAACTGTATCCCTGAATTTCTCGATAAAATAGTTTTCCATCCGTTACCTCCAATGTATGACTTGACCGACCCCGTGTCCACCAAAGCTTTGTACAAATATCTATTAATTAGAAGGTCTATGTAAATCCTATCGTCTACCAATTTCAACAACAAATTCGTTGCGTTTCCCTGCTGACTGGTGCCTGCTCGGGATTCAGCCATCTGAACTGGTGGTGCACTAGGTACCGTGAGTGTTGGTGCATTTACTGGGTTTTTATTCACTGGTCTATTCGATGTTTCAGACTCAGTGGTGTCAGTGCATCGACGTGACATCTTCTGAATGAACCAACCATTCGAGTTTATCGCACTTGCATTCGCGAGTCCAAGTATCTAATTTTCCACACCAAGAACAAAATTTAATTGGTTTATTCTTGCAATTATTGGTACGATGTCCCCTCTCGCGGCATTTCCAACAACATTCAGATCGATTATATTGTTGTTGATTGACAGTCGCCATTTCAGCTTTCTTCTTGGGTTTCACATTGTCACTATTGTTCTTCGCATTCTTCTCTTCTTTCTCACTTTCCTTCGTGGTCTGCATGCTCGTAGAACGGTGATTCTCGTCTATCATTCCCAAAACATTTACTTCGAATTCATTTCCGGCTCTAACTAAATCATTGACTGTACGTATATTTCCCCGTTGAATAGGTACTTTGTACTGTTTAAGCATGTTACGATACAATCTATTGACTTGTTCATTAGTAGACATACCTCCATATCTCCTCATCAGAGTTTGAATTTCAGTAACGTAACTCCTGATTCGTTCATTCGGTTTCTGCATATGATCGCGGATTTTATCTTCCAGTTGATTGACATTGTCTAATGGCAAGAAGTAATTCTTCAAATCGTGAATAAACTCTACCCAACCACCCCATGATCTTTTGTTGTTACGGTACCAACCGAGTGCCTCTCCCTTCAGTACTATTGGGATATGATCAATCGGAACACGATCTGAAATCTGCGAACTATCCCTCAGTTCATCAATTCTCTCGATAAAATTGTGGACATTTTCATTTCCGTCATCGTAACATTCCACTTACGGATTATATCAGCTGGTTTTAAATCTCCAAAACCTATTGGATATCCCTGCATCTCAAATGGATACCTATTCTGATAATTCCTACTCTCATAGTCTCTCGAGTTCCGATACTGACGATACTCACGATCGTCACGCGGATAAATTAGATCGCAACTTCTATCCGTGTCACAATCTCTACTGGCAATGCTCCTTCTGTCAGAACGAGGTGTGTATGCCTCAGCTCTGTATCTATCAGCGTACTGATTCTCGTAATTACCTCGATATCTGGATTCACGATAATCACGGTCCTCAGGGTCGTAAAATTTCCTGTTGCCCCTCTCTTGAATATCGTACCCCTCCATGGGACGAGTTTCCGGGTACTGATCATTGTGACTGCGTTTCTCCATGTGTCTGAATTCTTCAGGATGTCTGTAGTACTCTTCATGTCGTCTGGAGTACTCTTCATGATGTCTAACGTCCTCGTCATGACGTCTGGCGTACTTCTCGACGCCTCCTGGAGCTTTCGGAGTATCTTTCTCCAGACTGTACACGATCTTGTCGATAACGTTCGTATTCTAGGTCTAGATTACATTTTGTTATTCTTGAGCCTGACAAATTTCTACGACGTAGATAATGATCTTGCTGATCTCTCGCAGGTCAACTTCCCGACTTATTATGCCTCTAAAATCAAAACTTCTTGAATGTTCAACTATTTTTATGAAGCTGGTGAGTTATTTATACGTTCCGTTCCGTAAAATTTCCGTAAAATCATTGAGGAAAAATTACGGAACGACTTGTTGTCTCCACTGCGGTGATTCATCAGACGGGTGGTTAACTTTTACAGAACAAATCATAGAATTTACGTGGCGATTCGTACATTTTCAGTTCTGACTTACACTTTTTATTGAATTATACTACGCTCGCGGATAACATTTCGAAACGTAATTTTTAATTTCTTTTTCTGGTAATTTTTATCGAATTGTTCTCTCCGTATTTCTGTTCTCTCTGTATTTCACTTCAGCCACACATTACATGCTTTTTGCTTCTGAATGGAAGCATTGTATTCGTCAAATCCAAAATTTCCAATTTCTTGTTTCAGAATAACTAATTTGGGCCTCCGAAGTTCGAATATGTTATTTTTAGATTATGTCCCTATGTATGTGTGTATATGTGTACGTGACCAATCGTTTTTCGACGACAATTGAAAAAATTGTTTTCATTACTTGTCCGTAAAGTGAAATTTTACGCAAGCTCCGCGTGCGCAAAATCCCGTTTTCCTCCCATGGGTCAAGAAACACTTACGCATTCGTATCGAAATAATGTCTTAAATGAATCCTATTATTCCGAAAAGTCCCTTTTCGTTTATCCGTAAACAAAAATTAAATGAACTCTTTCTATTTTTTTTCAGATTTTTAAAATGGTTTCTAACGCTTCAATATCGAGATTCAAATTCATACCTGCAAAGTTTGAATAATAAAATCATTGTAAAATGTCCGGAAACTTGAGGTCAAATAGAGCTCTACTGAAAGCTCTGATGCCCGACTACAAAACTAAGAAAACATTTCACTGGAGAAAGAATAGCCAAAGTACTTGGATATCCTTAGTACAGTGACTATGAAGTGCGCTTTGTTCTATTGTCTATCACTTGGTTCCCGTTATCCTGAAATAATAACGTCGAAGAATTATATAATCTATTATCTGCTTCAGTAACATAAGTAGAATGTGATCACTGGAATGTCAAGAGCAACAAATGGTACCGTTGTATGTGTAACCAATAGAGTAGTGATAAATCACTAAATGTGGCGTTGATGAATGAGTTAGGCTTAATGGATAGGGGGAGGGAACTTGTCAATGTCTGGTTGAATCTGTTCCAAGTTAGTTATGGCTGCGAAGGACAACTCCGCTCCGACGAATGCGAGGATATTCTTTCTCAACTTTTTTCTTTCTCCATAGTCTGACTACACTGACAGAAAAAATTAATTTTATCAAGAGAATTTTATTTTAACCAACTATGATTTGGTTAATATTCAAATAAACATGATTTCATAATAAATACCATTTAGCTCTTTTTGAGATCTATTTGATTAGAAGAAATCGAATTTCTCTAGCAACCAACTATAAACCAACGAATTTCGCAAAAGTTTACTAACTTTGGAAATTCGTTGGGTTACTCAAAAATCAAAATTATTCTCATGACTAAATTCGTTGTTATCTGAATCAACACGATCATACGTTGTCCCATTAACTTATTTAGAATTTTTTTCCGGAAATCTATAGGGTCCTAACTTTAACAACTACCTTAAAGAACTAGAACCAGAGGATTAACCCTAGTCTAATTTCGCTCAGGTTCTCTCATTTTGGATCAGGTATAGGTTTGATACTGGTCAAGACGTCCTGATTAGATTTTTGGATCAACATTTTGCACGAATGTCTGGATCCAATGCGGCTCAGGTAATGCGGGTTCTATGTTGATTAGTCGAACCGCGCCTGGATTCAAATAGAATTCGATATTGTGGAAATAGATCGAATTCGAAGGTGCAAATTAGGTTTGAATCCAAACAAGGCCTTTATTTCTGCTTCAAAACTGATCAATATCAGGTTGAATAGATAGATATCTTATTCACCCTGATTTGAGTTTCCACTCGATAACGTTATCCGTTTTATTTGCATTTACCTCTATAGTGTTGAGCTTGAAAACAAATTCCACTGGGGGCTTAGATGGTGGAACGCTGCAATTCGCTTTGAGCGTGTCTCCTGTGTCATATTGGCTTCGCTCTGTTACGATGGTAGGTTTCTCCTTTGGTAGAGCTGAAACAATTATTTCATTGTATAAGTACGATCCATACGCGCAAATACATATCATGAGAAGCCGGCATCTGCCCTAGGCGTATAATCTACAGTTTCCTCACGTGAGGAAATTGTACGAAGGATGTTGCTTTGCAGGTACATGTGCAAAGTATACGTGATAGTTTTGAATAAGATTTCAGCGGAAATTCGAGATCCTATAGAACACACCCAGAAAAATATTGTTTTTGAATCAAATAAAAATTTTTATTTGACATTTTTTACTTATTTCAAAAATATTTTTGTTACAAATGAACAGAAAAAAGATTTAATTATTTTAAATAAACAATTTATTTACTTAAAATAAATATTTTTTTTTTTCAAAGAAAATTACATTTTTATGTATTTTGCGAAAGAATTTCAAAAGTGTGTTCAACAATAGTTTCAGTTGAATTTCATATTTGCAAATCCTCAATAATTGGGGATGGATCTCTAAACACCAATAACATATATCCGAAAGTAAAAACTATTTCATCTCCAAGGTCATTCGATAGATGGCACTTGTGATATAATGTACTAATCCTCCGAAACCGTTGAATCTTCTTTTCTCGAGGAAAGATAAGAATAAAAAAAGCAGTGAACCATACTCACAAACAACTGTCAGCCTCTTGATACTTTCTTCCGTAGAAAAGGTTGGCGCATCAGCAGTCACTTCACAGCTAAAATTACCCGTCAGGCCGTAATCTACATTCGTTAGGGTTACCTGCTCGTGATCGGAATTGTTGCGCTGAAATGGGAGAAGCAGAATTGTTCGTTATAATCTGTGAATAATACAAATTAACTGATTGTCTTACCAATGTACCGATATTGAAATTAGACATGAATTAACTGGTAAAGTATTTGCGACGGTATTAATTGATTGTCACCAAGCTAACGTCCAAGCGGATCGCAAATACTCCGAGGGTATTAGTGTAAATAGTGTAAAAATTTCTCTCCATGTTCCATTGTATGTGAACTTACGTGAAGTATGTGTCACAGGTGTAAGTAGTGAATTGACGAATTTTATTTCATTACAAATAGGGGAGACCGGGGCAAAACACGGTGGCCGGAGCATAGTGGGGTACATAAAAAAGGACAAAATTTCGAAATTCAAGGAGTTGATGGGGGTCGATCAGGGAGCAGGACTTTTCAATAAAATTTCATTTCCATTCATTTCTGCAAATTGATACATGGTATTAAATATACAGGGGGATTCCTGCTACATAATCATAAAGTGCATTGAAAATACAAACAATAAACAGTAAAAATAGAATAACGTACAGCATGGTAACTGGTGGATCCGATGCTAGTGAAGCCAAATTAGAAACAGAAAAAGGCAAGATCCAAGACAGCCCAGAAGAATGATCAATAATTCAATACTTGTTGAGATAAAAATAAAAACAAAACATAAAACATGAAAAGAAGAGCCAAGAATTAATTGTCAGTGTACATCTAGAATTGTAAAATCCAGTCTCAGAATCTCAGAACCTAGAATAGAGATAAAAAGTCAATTATTTATTTCCTAAGTTCTCAACCGCAGGCATTTTTGCAAAAAACAGAATAAAGTTTTAACATCTCTGAAATTACTCGAGTTTAAATACGCGGAAAGACTAGAAATTGAGATGTATTTTGGATCGATCAAATAATTAGGAAGATAATGAGACCTCAGAGCTTGATAAAAGGGACAGGAGAAGAGGATGTGAATCGGGTCTTCAAAGACCTGGGAGAGGCATAAGGTACAGAGCTGATTGGGATCCAGCTGATACCCAATTCGGTTAATGGTTAGGGTTCTTGCGTGGGTTGTAAAAAGTTTCAGCTGGATTTTAACCCTTACGAACTCAACTGGGCATCTTTCAGGGTAAAAATTCTTGAAGTTGTCCATGGGATTTCTGAATACTTTCAACAATAGCGTTGATGATGAGAAGCAGCGTAGGAAGTCATCATACCTTTCGCGAGCCAGGAATTGGTCCAGGGTGTCAGGGATCCTCAGACGCCACCAATTCGGAGACAAGTTTGTCCAGACATCGTCGCAATTCAAGCCATCTAGGCAGAGCTTCAACTGTAAGATCCAGTTGTATCTGGCTGCTGAACGCAAGTTTGCGGTTGTAGAAGAAGCTAACTCTATCAGTCACAGCAAACAGATCCTTGGAAGTCGATCCGCCGACATATTGAGGACCTTGAGAATCCAGTATAAAGCCTGTTTAATTACCTCGATCGTGACTCCATGGATGCTCGTTTCAAGGCGGATGGAGTAGCCAGGAGTGCTTCTCGGGAGATTGAAGTCTTTTGAAAAAGCTCAGGTGGGCAGATTCAAGGGTTGCGAGATTCCGGAGAGCCCACAGGGATGAAGTATAGAGCAGCGTGGAGGTGACTATACTGGAATGCAATCTAATCGTACCTTCCCAAGAGTCGGCCCCGATGGACGAACGAAGCCGTAAAGCAGCGGCAGAAGCAACACGAGACCTTGAAGCATCAGTGGCAGTCGCAGCTCGACCAGAGACTAATGAAGTAAACTTCACTCCAAGATATGTATAATCAGAGATAATTTCAACTGGATTTCCGTTGAGTTGGAATGCGTGGTTTGAAGAGGGCAGACGCTCACCTTTTCTGAATACCAGTAATTTGGTTTTTCCTATGTTGACTGTCAGGCCGTTACCAGTGCAGTACTCACTGAATTTTCAGCTTGAGTTTCAAGTCTATGGCACTAAATGCCAGGATGATAAAGTCGTCCGCGTAAAGCAAGAGAATAACGTTCTTCCGGCCGTCGATATCGACCCCACGAACGCCCTTCATGCGGAAAAAGTTCTCGATGTCTGCCAGGTACAAATTGAAGAGGAGTGGACTCAGTTTTTCTTCTTGCAAAACGCCCTCACTCACCTCAAAGGCCTCAGTGTAACCATCAGTAGTTTTTATTCTGATGGTGGCTCGGTCGTAGAGATTTTTGACTACCCCAATAACCTTCGAGCTCAGCCCCAGCTTCAGAAGTTTATGTCACAGCAGATGATGGGGCACAAATTCGAACGCTCTTCGGAAGTTCACGAAAAGTGAATAGACTCTGCCCCCAGGTAGTCTCAGTCTGTTCTGAAGAATGGAAGTTAGGATAAAAATGTTATCTATTGACCCCCTCTTCTGGCGGAAACCGGCTTGTTCCTCAGGTACGATTTGAGAAGCTCCGCCCATTTATAAATGCTATTATTCAAGATGGAGGTGAAAATTTTAGTTATATTATTAATGAACGCAATCCCTCGATAATTAGACGGGTCTGAGCGCTCCCCTTCTTTGTACCGCATACATAGGTTGATTCTGGCCCAACTCTCAGGAATTGTGCCACTCTCGAAAATCGTGTTGAATAAGCCGAGCGTATATAGCTTCCAGACTTTTGGAAGAAATTTGAGAAAGCTGTTGGAGATTGTGTCAGCGTAAAGTTTCTATTTGTCTTACTAGTTTTTTGGTTGAGTTCCTCGGGGTTGATTGTCAGTACGAGTGGAGCTGCTTCTATTCCTGTTGAGTGCTGTAGGTTTGGGTACATGCTTCTCTTGTGTGTAGTCCCAACCCCACCAGGTGCCGTCGATCTCGAGTCCACTGCATCAAGCCTCACTCTCTTCTCTTGCTCCTTGGCGGCCTTACCAAGTTCTCTGACCTTCCGATAAATTTTTTGCTCCAAGGGGGTGAGGTCAGGGTCAATGAAGACCTGGCTGTCATAGCCATTGCATTTCCCTAGTTTAGCTTTGTTTTTCATAACAGTCTTTTTTATCTCAGGGCTGGATAATTTTACAATACACATTTTCTTCTCAGCACCCACCACTCTGATCTCCATGACGGCATCGACAAGGCCAAAGTTCAAGGTTAAAAACTTATTCACAGCATCTTTGGGTGATTGATCACCAAGAACGAGGCCTTTAACTATCATATTATTTGTTCTGCCTGCTCTCTCATGAAAATCTAACTGCTTTTTCAACTCACCTAGCTCTCTCCTCAGTCAACTGGAGTTTTCTACCTTAGCCTTAGTTTCAAGCTTCGGCAGTCACTCCACGATAGCATTAGATCCCACGTGACTCATGAGCTCCAGCAGATTTGTTTCTAAAATGGAAATCTTGGAGGTTAGGTCTTCAATTTGTTTCTTTGATTGGGCATCCCTAGATTCAATATACTTTTTTAAGTCATCCAAGTGGTCGTTCATTGATTTACTATTCTCTCTCATTGAACGTTCGAGAGAATCAGATTTAGCTTTCCCTGCAGTGCAGAGTTCATTAACCTTGAACAGCAAAGTTGACAGCATATCCCTCTCATTGCCTTTCTCAATCAAGTTCTGGATTTCCTGATCAGGGAGTGGAGCATGATGGCTTAGAGATTCTAGATTATTTGGAATGGGGTGAAAATTAGCCATAGCAATACTGTCGGGGGCACTGAAGGATCTATTGAGTTTTTTATTTAGAGGGGACTCGAGGAGTAAACAACAGGGCCCAGAGACCTTATCCAGCTCCGCAATTTTCTGTTTCTTTTCTTGAAAAGTTCCGAGAGGGTACAAGAAGAATCGCAACGTTTTTTCAGGCCCAGAGCGAGAGCTGTCAGCGGTCGGCCTCTCCTTGCACCACCCTCTGGATTTGGTGATTTTGGAACGGAGCAAACTGACTGAAAAGTCAGTCGACTGAACCAGGCTTGGATGCTGCTTGAGGGGTTAGAGCTGTAAGTAACACTTGAAGATGAATGGTTTAACGTAGGGAGAGGGTCTCCTTCAACAGCTTCAGATGGACTCGACGAGATAACAGCAATTTCCGGGATAATTAATGTTTTCTCCGCCACGCTAGTTATGCTCTTGTCTATGAAAGCTAAGCTCCAAAGTTCCTCTGTGCAGTAATTATGTACAGACGGGCAGTAAAAATCTTGGGATGATACAGATTTTTATCCACGATTATCGGTATGATTTTTCTGTTCGACACAGTATGAATAGAAGAATTGTTGGACTCATAAAATAGAAATTTATAAGAAATAAAGAGGAGCACTTTCAAAACACGTGCAGTGGCGTACTATCCGCAACGGAACCCCCCTTTTCAATAAAAAGTCAAGAAAATCTAAAAAAAACTTGAATAATTCTAAGGAAAAATTTATAAAAAATGGAAGAACTGTAGAATTTCTTTCAATTCTTTCAAACACAGGGATGAGCCGCCATATTGCTGCGCATACTCTCTATTTACTGATATAAACGTCACTTTTCTGCCGAAGCAAGAGAATAAAAACAATCAATTAGAAGTATTAGGATTTCACTTCCTAAAATTCAGATGAACAAGATAAATCTAATGAATAAATTCGGAAATTTCAATTTCTAGACAAAACAAATGAAATTGACGAAAAAATGCGTACCCTATCATGTCCCAAATTAACGAATGGATTCCAGGGGCATTCATCTCCATTGAATTTCCTGAAGGCAGTTCAAGTTTCCATTTCGTTATTCAGGTGGCGCCACCAGCGTTCCGCGCATGCGCATTTTAATGATATTTCCGAGGGTCCACGTGTTTCAATTCGAACTAACCCATCATAACCAAAACGAGAAATAGAAATTGAAGGGAAGAATAGATCATTAAAGTAGTGTAGAATATTGAGCGTGATGTTGATTTCTAATAATTCAAACTGGTAAAGCGAATCAAGTTAATGTAGTAGTTATTATTTAAGTTTATATATTATTTAACGGTCAATGTATTATTTATAATTCAAATACCCTTACACGAGAGCAATATAAAGTACAATTGA